GTTCATCAAGAGATTTAAAATCATTCAATTATTTATTTATTTATTATTTATTTTTATTTTTTATTAGTAGTAGTAGTAGTAGTAGTAGTTGGGTAAGCAGTTATTTTATTATTAATTAATTTATTAATTGGATGAATCTGTCTAAGTTTGGAAAATCCTAAATCTTTCTCACTTTCTTTATCACAGGCACTCCTAATATTAATCTGACATTTTGAGTCTTGGAAGTTGTGTTACAGTGGAGCTTGCAATTTTCTCAAGTGCTTGCCAGTATTGTATGCAATTTTCTTCATCAATATGCAATAGTCAGTGAACTGACTGTGGTTGTGTTATCTAAAGCAAAAATATTAAATACATTTTTTTGCTTTGAACAAATGCTAAAAATAAATAAATAAATATTGACAATGTTAAAAGAACCAATTATAATGGCCACAACTCTGTTTTTCTCACTAAGTATTTGTTACAATCTCAGCTCAATATGTTTTAGTGGTTCAATATAAAGCTTTAAAAGAACCATAAATATAGCGAACCAGTGAAACTGCTAATCAAACATTTACAGAAACTTTTCAAAGTGTCAATATGCATTAGCCTCTGACTGATTGCCATTTGGCTGATTAATTAACGCCTGCCTTCAAATGCAGCTCTCAGGAAAACCTGAACCATTAATTTTACTGGTAACATTTCTAAAGTGCCGTTCCCATCCCTGTTGGTGTCCCAGTAAAGACCCTTTCATCTGGACACTTTTTCTGCTCTGTCTCCTTAAATAAACCCCCATGGACACTGGCGCTGCAGCCATGAATGGGCGTTTTTTTCTGCTCAATGATGAGTTGTCCTGTAGATGAGCTCCCTCCAGAAGTTAAATCAGACAGAAGTTAAAGCAATTAGCACCGAAGGAAATTATGCTAATAAGTCTGAGGACCTTGTTAGGTCATTTTCATTATCCATGTTAAACCGTGACTTAGGGCAGCCTTTCACCGTATGAAGATTAATTATTGTCCAAAGAGAAAATATGTGGAATTTGATATTCCTCTAACCATGAACGAATTTCACCAGCCCTATCAGAAAACAATAATACAACAGTGTTGCTAAACTTTCCATTAAAAACATTTAAATAAATAAAGCTTGTAGAATTGTTGTTCATCAAGAGATTTAAAATCATTCAATTATTTATTTATTTATTATTTATTTTTATTTTTTATTAGTAGTAGTAGTAGTAGTAGTAGTTGGGTAAGCAGTTATTTTATTATTAATTTATTTATTAATTGGATGAATCTGTATAAGTTTGGAAAATCCTAAATCTTTCTCACTTTCTTTATCACAGGCACTCCTAATATTAATCTGACATTTTGAGTCTTGGAAGTTGTGTTACAGTGGAGCTTGCAATTTTCTCAAGTGCTTGCCAGTATTGTATGCAATTTTCTTCATCAATATGCAATAGTCAGTGAACTGACTGTGGTTGTGTTATCTAAAGCAAAAATATTAAATACATTTTTTTGCTTTGAACAAATGCTAAAAATAAATAAATAAATATTGACAATGTAAAAAGAACCAATTATAATGGCCACAACTCTGTTTTTCTCACTAAGTATTTGTTACAATCTCAGCTCAATATGTTTCAGTGGTTCAATATAAAGCTTTAAAAGAACCATAAATATAGCGAACCAGTGAAACTGCTAATCAAACATTTACAGAAACTTTTCAAAGTGTCAATATGCATTAGCCTCTGACTGATTGCCATTTGGCTGATTAATTAACGCCTGCCTTCAAATGCAGCTCTCAGGAAAACCTGAACCATTATGGTTTCTAAATAATCATGGCTGTCAATGTTATAGCTGAAAGGGATTGACATGTGGATAGACAGTCTTGAATAGCGAGAGTTTGTCCTTTTTCTGAGCCGATGAGTGAAGATAGACTGATGAGTTACTGTGTGAGCTGTACTGTAAGACAGGCTGAGTCAGCTAATTAAAGGCTTTGAGTCTTTTAATCGACTGGGTTAGAAAGGGGAAATTTACCTTCCAGCTGGCCTCCCTTCAGCTGTCTATATCCACTGCCATGAGTGTTTGGATATAGTTCACTCTCTACTGGATTCTTTCTTCAAATTATTCAAGGATTGCTCACCCTCATGCTGTTCCAAAGCTGAATGATTTTAGTTCTGCCACGAGATGTTTTGAACAAAGAGATGTTTTGGAAAATTCACACTGTTAAGCTCCAAAAATGCAATATAAAAGTTCCATACAACTTGTGAACTATATTCCAAATTGTTCTTCTACAGACGTACAATGAATACATTGAATTCAACTATGTCACATCATCTCAGGTTATGTCGGGTTTGACGTCAACGACTAATTTAAGAGACATGGAATATAACACAGCTGAGTCATTAGGTCTACTTTTATGTAACATTACTTTTCATTTTAATTTCATTTCACAAAAAAAAGTTTTCCTCACTATTATTGTCTTGTTTTCCAATGCAAATGCCTAAAGATTCTTAAATCAAGATGGATTTGCTTGAGAAGCAAAATGTCAAAAGATAAAAAAAAGTATTTCTGAAAAATTTATTTTATTAAACCGAGGGCAAATATATGCTAATGGTCTTAGAAAAATTCTAAGTAAAAAACTTTCCCTTTGAATATACATCATTGACATATATTTTGACATGTATTTGTTGTTTTAAGCATAAACTCATTCTTTTTACTTCATTTTTTGTCTCACGTAAATGTATCTTGATTTAAGGAAGTTCAGATATTTGTATTAGAAAACAAGACAAAAATACTGAGGGGAATAGTTACTTTTTGCAGTGCATGCAACATTTAATTTCAATATTTTAAGAATTTATGACTTTCTTCTCTAATTTAAGACCTTTTTAGGTCTTAATTTGTAGAAGGGCAAATTGAGGCTTTTTAAGACCCACAAAAACTGAGAATCCCCCATATTTATGGGCAGCTTAATCTAAAATCGCTGATATCAAAATATTAACAATACTGTATCTTCATTTGTGTCTTTAAAGTCTTACGGGTTTGGAATGAGTTGAGAATGAGTAAATGATAACAGAGCGTTCGTTTTTTTGGATTAAGTATCCCTTTAAGACATTTTAAAGACCTGAACAAATACAAAATATTACTGTATTTCCATACCAGAACAAAACGACACAATATTGTAAACTGCCAGATGACTGGGAAGTCAAGCCGGCAGCAGACTTGTGATGAGCTCCAAGATGAGCCCAACCAATGTTATTATTATTTAAGAGCCTTTTTACTGACCATAAATGTATAAAAGTGATTAAAAGGCACGAGTTTAAGCACCCACGGTCCCCCTGCATTCTGCTAAATATCTCCTATTGTGTTCCACAGACCAAAGAAGACATACAGGTTCGGAATGACATGAGCGTGAGTAAATCATGACAGAATCTAAGTCTTTACTGGGTAAATTTCTCTCTAAACAGGACGTGAAGGAAAGAGTCCAATGAAGTGTCATTGTGTTGTGTCCCATGAGAGTTATTTTGGCAGGTTAGATCGTTTTGGCATGTGAGCTCTCATCTTTCCTCTGTTTCAGTCTCACCCAGCCTCTAGTGAGTTCATATGTTGGCCCTTTTCCCGGATAGGAGAGCCACTGTTGAGGAAGAACTGGGATACTGCCAGTATGTTGATATCAGACAGTTTTTAGATCACTACAGTAGAGTCCCTGTTTATCACACACGCTTCAGATCGCAGCATACCCTGCAGGTTGTGGGTTCGAGTTCTCTGGGGAATAGTGCTATACACAGACAGAGCAAACAACTTCCCGCAGCATCAATTAAAAACAAACTCTACTGTTATCACCTTGACTGTATTTTCTGATGACTTATAACTATTGTAAATAACAGGCAAGAGACTTAAAACAGTTAACACCAAAATCTGTCCGAGCACTGTCCTGATTCATTGAAAAGACAAATACTAAAATCCAACTAACCATGTAATCATGAATAGTTTGCAGTCAAACTCAATGGTATTTTGGCACAAATTCATCTGTCACATGGTCAAGCCATGTTAAACAGATGCCAGCATAGACAGGCTGCGTGACATGACCTCACCCTTGAAAACTATGAACCAAATCTACTTGGAATAAATAACACGAACCACATCAAACGCAAGTTCGATTGCAACAAGGATAAATATGGTGTGTGTTGACCATGTGCTGTTTGTTGAATTATTATATACTGTATATGTATTAAAATATTTGATGTTACTTTTTAATTTGTTTTTGTTAATTTGTATGAGAAACAACATTTTTGATAGTCCACTTTAGACGTTTGATTGGAATAAATAACACGAACCACATCAAACGCAAGTTCGATTGCAACAAGGATAAATATGGTGTGTGTTGACCATGTGCTGTTTGTTGAATTATTATATACTGTATATGTATTAAAATATTTGATGTTACTTTTTAATTTGTTTTTGTTAATTTGTATGAGAAACAACATTTTTGATAGTCCACTTTAGACGTTCTACTAACTATAAGTAACTTTGCAACTACATATCAACTAACTCTGTATTAAGAGTATTAGTAGACTGTTAGTAGGGCAGGTTTATAGCCAGGTATAAATGCACTAGGGCTAGGGTTAGTAGAATAAGTTGTCATGTACTTGCAAAGTTACTTATAGTCAGTAGAATGTCTGTTGGGGGACCATCAAAAGTGTTAAGTGTTAGCAGATATCAAGCAGAGAGTCAACTAATACTCTAATAACTAGTTGAAATGTTACTTAAAGTTAGGAGAATGTCAAAATAAAGTATTAATTTTGAAACGTGTATGGTTGCCACATGATGGCATGTAAAATCTGAGTCCTGAACCAAAGCCAGCTGAAAATCATTGGCCTAAATATTTTCTAGAGAACATGCTGTAAAAGCGTCTTACTGTCATGAAACCATCCAGCAGGCCAGACAGTGAACTATCAAAATAAAGTGTTACCCAGTTTTAAAACAGTGTATGGTTGCCACATGATGGCATGTGTAAAAGCGGCTTACTGTCATGAAACCATCCAGCAGGCCAGAGTCTGGTTTAGGAGGCGCCTGCAGACGCTCCATGGACCACTTTTCAATGATGGAGGACACCTGGCTGTTCTCTGTGTTTAGGATCCGGAATCCGGTCATGTTGACCCCGCTGTAGCGATAGGGCTCCACATCCAATGCAAAGAGATCCTAAAATATGTGAAAAGTTTATAAATTTACTGAAATATGATTAAAAAAAAAAAACTAAAACTGCAAAAGTAATGTGTGTTATATATAAGCTTTAGTCTAAAATCTAGTCAGCTTCCTTGATGTCATAAGATGTCATAAATTTACCAGCCATGAAGCAAATAAATACAATATATGTTATTTCCTTTATTTGACAGTTTTTCTACTGACACAAAAATATAGGGGAAAAAAGTCAATTTTTTATTAGATAAAACTTTTGTATAAATGATTTGTGTATTGAATTAAATATAAATGCATCACAATAACTTGCAGAACAGTTTTATGTAACTTAGGCCTGCAAATGGGATAGGGAAAAAAGTCATTTTAAAATAATAATAGAATGTTTTCTTGGCATCTCTCAGAGTAAAACACATCAGTGGTGAAAATAGGAAACAGCACTTGAAAAAAAAAAGAAGCTTCTATGTTCCTACTTAGGGAATATAATAGCCTGAAATCCAAATGATTTTATGAATATCACTGTGGTTTTGAATGTGATTTATAATATAAAGACTCATGCATAACTTACCAGGGTAGTAAAAATGTAGTGGTAATACTCCGTCATCATTCCCATGGCAAGAGCCTGAAAAAATATTGAGAACCATGAACGAAACCATTTTGAGACAAGGGAGCAGTAACGCTATTCTCTGAAAATGTGCAATTTATTACTGAATCGAAGGATAGGCAGGCGAAAATAATGGCATTTCTTGTTTATATGATGTTCTGCGGCTTGTAATAATTTTATATGCTGAAGGACTGAGAACTGAAATCATTTGAAGCTCTTCCCTTAAACCCCTGAAACACCCTGAGCTCTCTCCAATGCCCATAAATACAATACAGAGTGACATCCATGCAAAAAGCCTGTGCTCTACCTCTAAATAAACCAATCTGGTTTAAAAAAAAAACGTGTATGTATTTTATATATTATTGTGTTATATTATTATAAAATATTTTAGTGTGATTGCACAACATGCAAAATAATCCAATGAACTGCACACATCAATATCAATGTTTGAGACAATGAAAGACGTTACATTAATCAGTGAAGCACTGACATAAAAGAAATAAATAAAAGAAACAATACATTGACTTCTAAAAACTTTTTTTTTTTTTTTTAGGAAGTCCACATGAATTAAAACGGACTCCATTTAGATCATTATAGCGCTGAACTTTCTTAAGGTGGTCATATCATGAAAATTGTAGGCATAGAGAAGTAATATAGAGGTATTATGATGGATAATACTATTCCTAAACACCAGAAGAAAAATACACTATTATTCCAGTTAGCATATAACTGACTCACTAAGGGTAAAATATGGAGGAAGTCAAGTCTGATGTTTCTGGCTGTGTCAACCCAACACAGCTCTAAAAATGCTTATCATACAAGTACATACAAATTTAATGAAAGTCAAGCTTCCTCTTGTGGAAAAGAAATACACTGTAGCATACTGTTTTGAGTCCTTGGACTTGTGGTACTTGAGGAAATAATATAGGCTGCCTACAGTTGAAGTCAAAAGTTTTTGAATCAGAATCTGCAAAATGTTAATTATTTTACCAAAATAAGAGGGATCATACAAAATGCATGTTATTGTTTATTTAGTACTGATCTGAACTCATAAGCAACTATTACAGAAGGTTCAAATGCTCACTGATGGTCCAGAAGGAAAAAACATGCATTAAGAGCCGGGTGGTGAAAGTTAATTTGAAGATCAGGGTACATTTAACTTATTTTGTCTTCTGGGAAACATGTAAGTATCTTCTGTAGCTTCTGAAGGGTAGTACTAAATGAAAAAAAAAAAAGATATTTAGGCAAAATAAGAAAAATGTACACATCTTCATTCTGTTCAAAAGTTTTCACCCCCGGCTCTTAATGCATGTTTTTTTTTCTCTTCTGGAGCATCAGTGAGCGTTTGAACCTGTAATAGTTGCATATGAGTCCCTCAGTTTTCCTCAGTGTGAAAAGATGGATTTAAAAATCATACAGTCATTGCTGGAAAGGGTTCAAATACACAAAAAAATGCTGGAAAACCAAAGAATTTGTGGAACCTGAAGATTTTTTCTGAAGAACAGCAGGCAGTGTAACTGTTCAGGACAAACAAGGGACTCATGAACAACTATCACTAAACAAAAAACACAGCTGTGGATAATTCAGGTTACAACACAGTATTAAGAATCAAGTGTGTGTGTGTAAACTTTTGAATGGGGTCATTTTTATAAATTCAACTATTATTTTATCTTGTGGACTATATGTAAACATATTTTATGTGAACTATCTGTTTCAGGTCAGTACTAAATAAACAGTAACATGAACTTTGTATGATCCCTCTTATTTTGATAAAAAATAACTAACATTTTGTAGATTCTGCAAAGTGTACCTAAACTTTTGTAAACTTTTAGTCCTTTTAACATAAAAAATGCTATATGGCCAGTGTTAGAATTAGTCATATTTCTCCTTTGACATCAGTAACAAAAGATATGAAAAGGGGTTTCTCCTATTTTAAAACTTGAGAAGCCTATTTATTTAGCTATCCCAGCTATGCAATATAAAATGTTGCTTGCATTTTATTAGTAGTATTTATTTACTGTAATATTGTTTTTACCCTGCTGTTTGTAACCTTTTTTTGGGACAGACACACGCATCCTAAAGTTTGAAAATAAAGTGACTGTAGTATATTTTATAATGGTAACAGAACAAGTCCCTGGTCATTTCAGTCTGAGCTTAACAGTTTGAGTGGCACATTTCATCACAGTGTATTTTGTAAAAGTGTAATGCTGACAGTGCAAAGAGGCTGTTATTGTAAGGACAGAGCAGTTCAAATTATATTAGACGCAACAGCAAACCCACAGTCCATGAAATAATGTGTGCATTTATATAGAAGACTTAAATGTACAGCAGCAATATTTCCTTCTGATATTCTGTCTACAAATTGTCATAAGTGTAGTATAATTGTTTTTGGTATACACAATAAGCCTGGACTATCATAATTTTTTTTATAAATAAAATAAAAAATAAATAAAATTAATAATAATAACTAATCTGATAGATCAAAATATCTTAACTATTACATCCTTGCTAGACCCAGTTATCATTGCCATCATCAGCCCCAAAGTGAAATTAATTATTAAATTCAGTCTTGTGTGAAACATATGGTTGGGAAATAATGTCTCTGTAGCCTGAGCAGATTTTGCAAAGTTCAAAAGTGTGGACGACTTCACAAAGCCAAAAGTTTCCAATGTGGATATCACACAAACCTTCTGAGAGCTGCCCATTATAGAAGCATATATCCACTGCCACTAATAATGAGTATCTTCATTATCACTTCAGTGGTCTGAAACTGATTAACGAGGTCTGTGAGCCAATCTCTAGCTGAATAATACCCACTTTAATATTTGATTATTCCTGTAATTGGGCGAAAATTCTTGCAGTTAAGTCACACATTGAAATATCAGTTTTCTCTTTGCAAGACTATTCACAGAACTCTAGCAGTGCATATCCTTATCCATTGTTTGGCAATCCTTATTTGATCAGTGTTTCCCATTAAGATTAGATTGCATTATACACAACACTGAAAAAAATTAAAAAGAAAAAAAAGAAAGGATTTATTTTTAAATGTTTTTCACGGAGAAAAGGCTAGCACGTTTCACTAATAATTAAAAAAATGTCAAGTAACACGTGAATTTAATGCATATGGAAGATTGGAGGTGATTGTAACCCTCTTGGAGTGGCAGAAGTCTGCCGGGGAATACCGTGGACTTTACACATATGGGATCCACTTAGGTCTCTACATATGGAACCCAGCCCTCTATCGGATCTTACGGATTCATCGAGAGAGGGCCTGGCGCCGGACCCTCCGCCACGTCTGGCTGCCGAGGGGACAGAGGAGCTCAACAGGGAGCAGTTTTAACAAGCCGAGCCGAAGGCGGGGCCACTCAGTGCTTCTACCTGTTTGAGGTGAGAACACAGGAGGATACCGGCTCCACACGAAGGCTGTAGAATCTAGCGAACATGTTAGGGGTCGCCCAGCCCGCAGCTCTACAGATATCTGCCAGCGAGACGCCACGAGCCAGCGCCCAGGAGGATGCAACGCTTCTAGTTGAGTGAGCTTGCAACCTGAACGGGCAGGGCACACCCTGTGCCTGATAAGCCAGGGTGATGGCATCCACTATCCAGTGGGCCATCCTCTGTTTGAGACGGCATTCCCCTTCTGCCAGCCTCCGTGACAGACAAAGAGCTGGTCTGAGGTCCTGAAGCTTTGTGTCTGGTCTACGTAGCACCTTATGGCTCAGACGGGACAGAGCAAAGCTAGGACTGGGTCTGCCTCCTCCGGGGGCAGCGCTTGC